GTGTATGTGTTGTGGTTATGTATTTATATGTGCGTATACGTTGGGACAGTATATGTACTCATCCCTGTGAGTATGTGTGAGTGTTTGTATGTGTATGTGTGTGTTTCTGTGCATGTATGTGTGTGTGAGAGAGAAAGAGAGAGAGAGAGAGAGAGAGAGAGAGAGAGAGAGAGAGAGAGAGAGAGAGTGAAAGAAAGAAAGAGAGAAACAGAGAGAGAGAGACAGAAAGACAGAGAATTAAAAGAAAGATCGAACATTAACGTCAGAACGAGATGAGAAAGACCCACCTCTCACTTCACCCCCAGAATTACCCCCCTCCCCCCTCCCCCACGTAAATCCTCATGACCTCCTCTTCTCCAACAGTTCACCGAGAGTCTCCCACGAGAGATGGCTCGACGCCGGCTCTCCCTCTTCACCCTCACCCCTGACCTCCTCCTCTTTGACCCCAGGCGACCCAAGGCGGTCAGGAACACGATAGGTGAGCAGTTTCATTCTCGCAACAGCTTGATCGACGAGATAAGGCAAGCAGTGTTGTCAGTGTTGGTCCCAGTTGCCAAGCGCGGAACAGAGGATCCAAGGCTATTGTTTTGGTTCCTGTAACTGATGATGTTTACTCAGCTGCTCAAATACACACAGATGCACATACGGATACAGATACACACACACATACACACACACATAAACACACACGCACAAACACACGCACACACAGAATCACACACCCACAATTACACACAATCACAAATACACACACACACGCACACATACACACACACACACACGCACACACACACACACACACACACACACACACAATCACAAACACACACACAAATACACAATCAGACACGCACAAACACACGCACACATTTGACAGCACCAGGATAACTCAGGATGCATCCCCCACTGATCTTACGCGTCCACACATACACTGATAAACCCATCCTCATTCCCACACTTCCGGATAATTCATTTATAATACTTATATAATGAATACGAATAATAATTATTATGATAATGAATAATACTTATTAAATGGTAATGAATAATAATTATTATGATAATGAATAATACTTATTAAATGGTAATGAATAATACTTATTCACACACTTCTGGATAATTCATTTATAATACTTATACAATGAATACGAATAATAATTATCATGATAATGAATAATACTTATTAAATGGTAATGAATAATACTCATTCACACACTTCCGGATAATTCATTTATAATACTTATATAATGAATACGAATAATAATTATTATGATAATGAATAATACTTATTAAATGGTAATGAATCATACTTATTCACACACTTCTGGATAATTCATTTATAATACTTATATAATGAATACGAAAAATAATTATTATGATAATGAATAATAGAATTACTTATAAATGGTAATGAATAATACTTATTAAATGGTAATGTGGTAATGAATAATAATTATTACGATAATGAATAATACTTATTAAATGGTAATGAATAATACTCAATTCCCACACTTCCGGATAATGCAAGTCCGTATTTCCCGACCGATTCCAGGTGTGGACAGGTGGCACGTCTACAACCTCAGGAACGAGCGTCATCACACCAAGGACTCCTGGAGTGTAAGGAAGCCGGACTCCAACGTGGCAAAACTGGCCTTCCAGGTAAATGTGTCAGGTATTCCTTGTTAGTGTCATAATTCCTAGGTAATATTCTTTGTTAGTGTCATAACGTGTCAGGTATTCCTTGTTTTAAGTGTCATAATTCCAGGTAATGTGTCATGTATCCCTTAGTAGTGTCTTAATTCTCCATTAGTAACGTGTCAGGTATTACTTATTTTTTGATTATTGAAGGGAACGTGTGATGGTAATGTGTTATGTATTTCCTAGTATTAACATTAATTCCCTTCTTTTACTTCAATTACGAGAGAAGAAAATATGTGTCAATATTTGTCAATAATTTATCATATATTTCCTAATATTTTCATTCTTCCCATTTTCTTTCACTACAACTAAGGGGGAATGTGTCATACATTTCTTAACATTCTTATAATCCTCCTCTTAAATCTCGCTTCAATAACGAGATACAGAACACATGATGGTATACTTGAACATCTCTCAGTAGTAATATCATTTCTCAGTAGTAATATCAACATTTATCAATAGTAATATCAACATTTCTCAATCAACATTTATCAATAGTAACCAACATTTATCAGTAGTAATACCAACATTTCTCAGTAGTAATATCAATATTTATCAATAGTAACCAACATTTATCAAATAGTAATATCATTTCTCAGTAATAATATCAACATTTATCAATAGTAAATACATTTCTCTCAACATTTCTCAAAGTAATATCAACATTTCTCAGTAGTTCAACATTTCTCATAGTATAGTCAACATTTCTCCAACATTTCCATAGTTAACATTTCTCAATAGTAAACCAACATTTATCAGTAAATTTCAACATATCAACATTTCTCAATCAACATTTCTCATCAACATTTCTCAATAGTAATATCAACATTTCTCAATATCAACATCTCAAACATTTCTCATAGTAATAACATTTCTCATATAGTAACATCAACATTTCTCTCACACCCACGGGACGAGCACCCTACCGCAACCACAGTCGACGCTAACCCCTTACTCCCTCCTCCCTCAGAGCGGCGGCGGGGTATTCACCGTGACGCCCCTGAGAGACGAATCCAAAGCAGCTTACTACATGAAACTCTTCAGGAAGGTCCTCAGCCGAGCCATTGTCAAGGTCGTTCACAGCGCTGAGGACGACCGCTCCACCAGGCAGGCGTAGTAAAGGTCACGAATAAAAATAGAAGTGTCTGGCGAGAGAGATTTTTGTTCGTTTTTGTTCAGAATATAATTTTTTCTTCTTTTTTTGTCCAATCTCGAGAGCATCGAAGTATCTATCGCTAGGAAAAAATAGAAGGGTCTGGCGAGAGTTTTTTCATCATTTTGTTCAGAATATATATATATTTTTTTTTTATCCAGTCTCAAATGCATTGAAGTATCGCTAGATTTCTGAAAAATTAACTATAGCTAGATTCTACGCGTAAATTATCGCTAGAAATCTAGCTAGATAGCGTAAATTATCGCTAGATTTCTGCGCAATGAACCATAGCTAGATTTCTGCGGAATTATGCTAGATTTTCTGCGCAATGAACCATAGCTAGATTTCACGCATTATCGCTAGATTTCTGAATGAATCGCTAGATTTCAGCGCATCGAACTACCACTAAATTTCTGCGGAATGGACCATCGCTATTTTTTTGCTGAATGAACAGTTGCTAGATTTATGCGCAATAAACCCTTGCTAGATTTCTGTGCTGTCAGCTGGGACCATCAATCTCATTCAGTTTTTTCCAATCAATTTAGATGAATCACTTCTCGCATCTATAAATAATTTATATCCTAAGTAATTATCTACGTCCATTAGTTAGTTAGTTGCACCAAGCTTAGAGAAATTATTTAAATGAACAGAATTACTCTAATCTGCCTTTTCATCTCTGCTACATTTCCATCCTTCTCATGACATAAATTTTACAGTTCTCTCTTTCTTTTCCTTAAATAACACTCATTCTCCAGACTCAATTTGATATCTCGAATGTCTGGGAAAAAATGAAAATACGAAATGAATTGGTTGGTAAAGCCGTATATAAGGTTTCATCAAGTGTAATGCTTTATTAATTGTGAATTGTGTAATTTTTAAATATAGAAACATCAAAGTTCCCGTTCTGTTTTTTATCTCCTGTGGGAAGGTCTACCATTCTGTCTTAAATAAGGAGAGAGAGAGAGAGAGAGAATGATTGGGGGGGGGGAGGGGGAGGAGAGAGGAGAGAGAGAGAGAGAGAGAGAGAGAGAGAGAGAGAGAGAGAGAGAGAGAGAGAGAGAGAGAGAGAGAGAGAGAGAGAGAGAGAGAGAGAGAGAGAGAGAGAGAGAGAGAGAGAGAGAGAGAGAGAGAGAGAGAGAGAGAGACAGAGACAGACAGAGAAGAGAGAGACAGAGACAGAGACAGAGACAGAGAAGAGAAGAGACAGAGACAGACAGACAGACAGACAGACAGAAAGACAGAAAGAGAGACTGAGTATGTGTATTTTCGCCATGCTACGCCATAAAACCTATTGAAGTAACCATACAAATATCAACCATGAAGTAAGGTCTATTCATAAAACCATAACAAATATTTGTAGGGAGAACACTATACACTGGAACCGCCTGAAAATCAACCACGTCACAGCTGGTGGTAAGACATACTGTTTGGCTTATGTGTATCAGTTTACAAGATATGGCGAGAGATCTTGTTCATTCGGTCTGTACCGTGAGAAAATAGTGTATAAACATTTCACACAAACCCAGACTTCTTGTTTGCAAAGAAGACAAGTAAATAGATATATTTGTGTTTGTTGCACCGTTTTTTTTTCTTAGCTTAGTACAAGGTAGATATAAAAGTACCTTGGCCTAAAATGTATGTTAATAAATAGTGTTAAATTCAAGAACATATGCAAAGGTACAACTTTATTTATGATAGGCATATATATATATATATATATATATATATATATATATATATATATATATATATATATATATATATATATATATATATATATATATATATATATATATATATGTATATATATGAAATTGCTCCTTGGTATTCTATTTTTCAACAATTCAGGAAAAATAATTCATAACTGAATGAAAAATAAACAATTTAAAACAAATTAACGATCGTACAGATATAGTACGATACATGTAAGATTTACAAAGCAATACATAATTATAAATAATTATCATTTTACCTTATATGACATACCATTTACTTTTCAATCATATCTCTTAAAACCTGACTTTCGTAATTTCCTTCTCCCATTCCTTTTAATTCCCTTTATTTTCCATGCTTAACACAACAAACATCCAAACAAAACCACAGAGAATTACTAACAAAAATACTTCACATAACACACACAAACCCTCACATGTTGCACACGTCCTTTTATCAATAATAAATCAATAATAACCGGGAAATGATAAGGAATACAATGCAGACAACACGCACGGTTACAAATTTTATTACAATAGAGATAAATATTCAGAAATAGATAAATAAACAGCAAAATTGTGTGTTTGGGATGCCGCTTCGCAACTGCAAAACCCAGCAGTGATAAGATAGAGATGATATGGATGAATCACCATAGATAAATCTATCTGTATCTATATTTATTCTTCCACGAGTGAGTAATAACCTGCACACAATCATTTCATAGTCCAAAAATAAATAAATAATTACAATATATGCAATGTATCACCACAAACTAGCACTGGTTTATTTAATTACTTTGTCATATTCTAATAAAAATGAGTAGAAAAAAATAACATAAATAAATTACCCTCCAAAAAGATACACATTATCACCACAAATTAACTTAAATCATCACTTTATAATCAATATTTAAATAATAATAATAACGATGTTAATAATAATGATAATAATAATAACAATGTTAATAATAATGATAATAATAATAACAATGTTAATAATAATGATAATAATAATAATGATACTAATGATAATGATAATAACAATAATAATAGTAATAATAATATCAATAAATTCTATAAAACTATCCTCCAAAAACATATATTATCTTAAAAAGAAAAACACAAAATACAAAAAATACCCCCTAAATATACATTATATTACCTTTTAAATACACTTTCTCAAAGGAAAAAAAACAATTACAATACACCACCTTCAAAAAAAAAAAAAAAAAAAAACATACTAAAAAAAAAAAAAAGAAACAACACACTAAAAAAAAAAACGAAAAAAATCTACAAAAAAGAAAAACAAAAAAAAGCGAAAAAAAACAAAAAAAAATCCACAAAAAAGAAAAAATCCACAACCTAAAAAAAAACAAAAAAAAAAAATCCACAACCTAAAAAAAAAAAACGAAAAAACTCCACAAACCAAAAAAAAAATAAATAAAACAAATAAAAAAAATCACAAACCAAAAACAAACAAATTAAGAAAAAAAAAACTACGGCGGAGGCCCGAGCTGGCTGGTCATCTCCCGAACCGTCGACACGAGCACCTCCATCAGGTCATCCAGGAGGTCATCGTCGATAGCCCTGCGAGCGAGGCCGTGCCCGGTGGTCACGAAGAGGGAGTTGTCCACCAGAGCCACCAGGGAACCCACAAGGGACCGCGTCACCTGGGGGAGGGGGGAGGGAGAGATTGAGAGAGGGAGAGGGAGGGGAGGAGGAGGGAGGGAGGGAGGGAAGGGAGGGAGGGAGGAGGGGGAGGAGGGGAGGGAGGAGGGAGAGAGGAGTGGGTAGGCAGAGATAAGAGGAGGAAAAGAGGAGAGGAGAGATGAGAGAGGGAGGGAGGGAGAGGGAGAGGGGGAGGGGAGAGAGGAGAGAAGGAGGAGGGAGGGAGGAGAGGGAGAGAGAAGTGGTAGGAGAGATAAGAGGAGAAAGGGGATGGGAGAGAGGGAGAGAGGGAGGGAGGGAGGGAGGAGAGAGAGGAGGGAGAGAGAGAGAGAGAGAGAGAGAGAGAGAGAGAGAGAGAGAGAGAGAGAGAGAGAGGAGAGAGAGAGAGAGAGAGAGAGAAGAGAGAGAAATGTGAGTCAGTGAGTGAGACAGACAGACAGAGACAGACATACAGGCAGAAAAAGAGAGAGAGAGGCAGAGGCAGGCAGACGTAGACACAGACAGAGACAGAGATAGAAAGAGTGATAGAGAAAAACAGAGTGAGACTGTAACATCTAACCATTGACCTAATCTTGAATGCATTGAGACGAATCTCCAGACAATCACTCTTATTCAAGACTCTTAATACCACAACCAAAGCATATAAAAACCCCTAAATCAACATCACCCACGCTTATAAACAAACCTACACAAAACAAACGGATACGGAAAGCAAGACACCCACAAAACAGGCAAAATACGTGATTGAGGATGACGAAAGACCCAAGTTGTTGTGTCTGCCAAGCTTCCGGTCCCAGCCAAGGAAGGAACCGTGACGCCTGTCAAATGTGACGACTTGTGTGTGTATAGATAAAAAAGTGGATTTTCAAAGTGTTGTGTGTGAAATAATTGGGTTATTGTTGGCTGAATGGAGGTGGTTCGGATTAGAGAATGGGAACGTAAATTAGTGGATTATGAATATATATAATATAGCCTTAGAGAGAGAGGAGGGAGGGGAGGGAGGAGACAGAGAGACAGAGAGAGAGAGACAGGGACAGACAGAGACAGAGGCAGAGACAGAGACAGAGACATAGAGACAGAGAAGAGAGACAGAAGACAAACAGAGACATAGACAACGAGATAGAGACCGAGAGAGAGAAAGAGAGACAAAAAAAACCGATAGAGAGAAAACAGAGAATAGAAAGAGAGAAACAAAAACAAACAAGCAAGCAACCCGACATCCAGCCCACCGACCTGCAGCAGCACGGGCGAGGCGAGCGTGGCGAGCCCGACCGCCGCTGCCATCACGGGTGACTTGGCGCGGCTCGTACTCGATCACTGACGCGACCTGACGGACCCGATGGCGCCCTCCCAGTCCAGCCTGAGTCCCGGCACCATGTAGCCGAGGTAGGGCGCCACCAGTCGAGCCACGGCCACCACCAGGTCGCCCCAAGAACCCTCGTCCTCGGTGGCCTCCGTCTGTAGGGGAGTGAAGCTCGAGCACAACAGCTTGAATGGGACTCGATGTAGACCTATATACATGCACATACTCACGATAAAACACATATACATACATACACACATACACACACACACACACACACACACACACACACACACACACACACACACACACACACACACATACGGGACCACCTGAACTTAGCTCTGCTCCCGTATTGAAACAACTAGGAATGGACTAGGCAAAACACACAGACACAGACACACATACACAGACACACATACACACACACACACACACACACACACACACACACACACACACACACACACACACACACACACAC